TTTCATTTAGCGGTGAAAACTATATTCAATCAATCAATCTTCTTCATATTGTTATCATTGCACTTTATATAACTGATTATTCAATGATGTATCAAGTTTATTTTTCAGTTACACGTGAGTAAATAAAATAATTGAAAACTTAAAGTACTGATGAACCTTGAAATAGTTTTGGTTACAAACTAATATTAGCTAGTAAACTGTTGAAAACTAGTCACAACTAAAATGCTGTTTGATACTCTCTTAAAATTTCTTAAAAGTAGGAATCCACAGTCAGTGAATGTCAACTCAATAGTCTAAAGGTAATACAGCCTTCGAGAAACATGAAGATCATACGTTAATTCCATGATTGAGTTTGATTTGCATGCCCCTAAAGAATTTTAAACTACGATAAAACAGATATCAAACTGTACTTCATTCCTAATGGTTCACAATCTCGATTTTGACTATAATTGAAGGAATCTTAAATTAGAATTAGTTTGCAGCACAAAATAACTGAATAACGAATCTACTAGGATTGTTATCTTTGATAAGTTAACGAATAACTAAATGTATCAATCTTAAGTCAGACTGTCAAATTAAATTAATTAAGAGGTACATATTTTCACGTAATTTATAGATGATTACATCATACAACTATACATCGTATTATTTATGTTTCATCATAGTACTTTTAAACAATATACATATAATGTATAGCTCAATTAAAATTAAGATTTAATTGACATATAAATTATTTTGTTTTTCATAAAAAATTTATATTTTAATTTAACATATGATCAGTTAGTCTACTTTTATTCATGGAATCAAAATAATCTTAACAGTGTATAGTTAGTAAAGTATTATAAATGAATTAGTTGATTGATAAAGATTTATCAGTATAGGGTTGTGGGGATTATTAAGTTTTTGATTGAGATCTTGAACCGATTGATGTTAGACTACCATTGAAAACTTGGAAGCACTAGACTCCTCAGCAGTGCGGATGCACGATCCCATTCGCGTGATTCGAACCCAGGGACTTCGTCCCACAATAGGACGAAACGACCGTCTTGTGCTTCCAGGTTTTTAATGATCGTCTAACATTAATTGATTCAAGATCTCAATCAATAACTTAATAACCTCCACAACACTATACTGATAATTACCATGTACTCACTAGTGATTAGCTTCGTGAGGGGATTCTCGGAGGTCTAGTGAGAAGCCGTGACCAATGGAGTTATTCCGCGTCGAGAGAGAGACAGATATTTACCTCAGACAATGGAAGATGGTCGCGCGATTTCGTGGATTGGTTAAGGTTAGACGTTAACGCCATTGGGTGCCAGCTCAGTGGTCAAGTAGGTTAAGCATTCCCTCGCGAGACTGAAGGCACTGGGTTCGAGCCCCGCGAGCGGGATCGGGGGTGCGCACTGATAAAGATTTCACATATAATTGGAATTAACCAGTAAGGTGGAGTTGTAAAGCTTAGTATTGAGAGTATTAGACATTTAATAAGTCAGTGGTAAATTTGAACCTTACTTAACTTCATTTCATCTGTACAATCTTTTGTTATCATTAACAAATTATATGAAATTACGTAACTGAAAGTTAAGCACGTATGCATGTATTTGGTAAGTTATAAATTAAAAATGTTAATTCAGAAGAGGATAGTCTGTCAGTTAGTTATGATTAAGCAAGAATTTCCACTAACAAAGCTTATGTATTTATGTGAAAACTTTACAAACTGTTTGAATGTATAAACGTCAAATGGAGACACTTTGATACTAAGTAAAATTAATGAAAGTCTTTCCGTTGTGTTACCACCCCCCTTTTTTGAATACTGATTTTAAGTTTTAGATCACTGACAGAAAAAAAAAACGTTGATTTCATTCATTTTTATGTAGAAATCTATGTTGAAAATGTAGTTCAATTACATTTCATAATGGTTTAGATTAATTGAACGCCACTGAGCCACTTTGGTAATGCTCCATAAAAACCGTTGAAATTATTCACATTTTTATGAAGACAGTAAGAGACAAAGGAAAGTTTGTCCATACAGAATAATCTGATTGACTATTCGAAAGTAATTGTTTGGTGATTGAGCGACACAAAGAATAGACTAACGTTTTAAAAATGATGTGATTAAAATCTATCATTCTATAATTATTAATTTGAAAATAAAGTAGAACGACATGGCTTATTTGCTACATCAGTCGTCTAAATATTATATAAAGTGCGATAAATGATGGAATTTATCATTCTTAATGACTGTAATATGATGATATGCTTATATGCTATTCAAGAGGCATACTTATTTCCAATGTATATCTCTATATAATTATCTCTTTCAGTAAATCCTTTCTTATTATTATTACGCTTTAAATACAGAAAACAAAGACAAAATAATCCAATAGTTTGTACTAATGACTGAGCTTAGTTAGGTAACCAATGAAAAATAAGAAGTAGCCGATAGCTCTTTCGTCTTAGTATGATGCTTCCGAACAATTCACATTCATCAGGAATCGGACACAAGATCTTAAAAGCTAGTAGTGAGCCCCTAACCTTTTGACTACCAAGTTGTCATTCAAACAGTTACGTTTCTGATTTCATTTAATTCGTAATTTTTCACAACCCTTTTGAAAATTCTTTTGATATGTAATTGTGTCACATTTTACATGATACAGGTATACTAGTTATAATCTCTCATTACGACTCTAGGTATTAGTGAGTAGCCAAAGTCCCTCAGCTCGGCAACCGGTGGAGTCATCGATGAACAGTAAGGAGCCCCATACATGCATAGTGTTTCCCGGTTTTCAATAATTTTCTAACCAAATTCAGTCTCGATAATCTCAAGAAACCTTCTGTACTAAAATAACTTCAATTTTCAAAATAATGTTTTCTGTTAACAAATGCTAAATCCACCTATTTAAAAAGAATGGTTAAGCTACTATCTTAGTTAGAACTATTTAACATACATCAGTTTGGATACAAGTAGGAATTTAGATGCGCTTGCGGTTTTCCATCAAAATATAGTACTCATTTAAGTGGAAGAAGACTAGAGTATTCTGGATTATCAGTCTTTTTTAGTTTTGCTTTCTTTTCAACTATAATACTTAATTTCAAAGCACTAAGTGGCATGAGTTCGAATCTTGTGTGAAATATTAGTTCTCCTAAGACTGTACATATGCCTTAATAATACAGTTTCAACTGGTAAAACAAAAACTAGGTCTAAGGATGTTCGACGTCCACCTTCAAACACCAAAGATCTTACTATGAGTATATCGATTTATATTAGACAGTTTCGTCTTGAAAGGAATAGGTTCATGGTATATTTTGAATATTAATATTTTTAAATATTATTGTTATATATATATATGAACAATTAGTGTCCTTAAATCCATTTTATAAAACAATATGATAGACTGTCATTTGATTTATTCACTTTTGTTAAATAATTTTGAGTGATCTTGTCTAATAAATGATTTGTTAGTTCAATATATATGGGCGCATGGATAGATTTATGAATAAATAATTCATTAGAATTTTATTGAATCTAAAGTATTCTAAATAATTTTTATAATTTACATCATCTATTTAATGAATGTTATATGAACAAATGATTTTAGTGTTCTTTTTTATTGTTGAAAGATAATAAGATATTCAAAAGGACATTTAAATGTGAGAGTCAATCTTAATTTAAATGATTCTATTTCAGTAGTTGAATTTATGAACCGATTAAAGTTAGATCATTAATGAAAATCTTGAAGCACCGGATGGCCGTTTTATCCCAGTATAGATTTTCTCAACGATACGCATACACGACCCCTTACACGGGACTCGAACCCAGGACATTCAGTCCAGCTCCCGGACGATTAAACTCAAGATCATGGATCAATTGAAGCTAAACATTAACAGAGTCGAATGAGGACTAAATGGTTCAGCGGTTAGTTGTTCACGTGTGGAACTGAATGTCCTTGGTTCGAGTCCCACGTGCAGGATCGTGGACACCAACCATAGAAGATTCTCATACTAGGAAGAAACGGCCATCCAATGCTTCGAGGTTCTCACTAGTGGTATAACATTGATCGGTTCATGATCTCAATAATAACTAATCAGCTGTTTCTAATGTACTTTTCAAACAAAACAAAGGTTCACATTTAATCAACTTGTAATTAGAATCCAATTACTGATAGATTGTTTGACTATCAATGATTATTTTAAATGAGAAAAATATGATATTGATATACAATTAAATTCTCCAAGTTTATCACATAGCTTACAGCTAGTATATGGCTGACGCTATTTTTGATAAATAGTTAAAACAAAAACCGGTAAGTAGACTAAAGATGTGTGTATGTGTGTGTAACAGTGATTTGATGAACCATAAATATATCAGATGAAACTAATAAGATATAACTGACACAAATGCCAAAACGTCTGATATATATAGGATTAGTGTTTGCGTTACAAATTATCTAAATATTTAGAAAATAATTATTCAATAATCATTAGACTATCTGTATGAATGTTGACAATCACGATTAAGTTGAAATAATTAATGTGTAGTAACAAATTTTGAAGAATGAAAGCTTTTATGACTGTAAATGTTATTTCAAGAGATAATTTGAGGAATTCTGGTGAGAAGTTATGATCAGTGAAATTCAACTATGAACGATGTAAGACAGCTACTTACCGATGGACTTGTAATGTGACTGTAAAATTTTGCGAATTGATTGAAATAAGGAATGTAAATCAATAGGTGACAGTTAAACGATCTAACGGTTAGGCTCTCATCAAGAAACTTAAAAGTCTTAGATTTGATCTTCGGTGTGCTCATAATGTTCGCTGTTAGTGGACTCCATACTTCAGTGATACAATCGTTCGATACTTCCTCATAATCAGTGGTTGTTTAACAAAGAGTAATACCTGTTGAAAATGATGAGGTAAGTTGAATGGAACTTATTAATAATGACCTAAATATATCTAATCTTTAAAAATTCTAACCATATTACAAAAATAAAACTTACGCTCCACGTAATTCAACAGCACGATCAAAATCACGAGCTTTCATTGCTTCAGCAACTTGACGTGTCTAAAAAATGAAAGACAATATGATCTAATCACATTTAAATGAAGTGATTGTTAGAAAAATCTATATAATTCAAGGTGACTTTTATTTAGAGAAACAAATTAAAGTGAAAATCAAATTAACAGATACGGAAACAAAGAGAGTTTAGACAGGAATGAAAACTTGAAGTAAGAATCGGTTTGTGGTTGAAGCCTGACGGTATCCTAAAAATATATGCTTCAACGACTCAAATGTTTGAGTTTCGTGGTTTTCAATCACGTTTTTCAGCTGAAGATAATTTATAATAAAAATACTTACAGTCAATAACAGAATATCCTTTACAAGATTTGCCCACAACGAAATACATATGCTTAAAATACACTGTGAATTTTTTTACTTAAATGAAAATGTCGAAAAGGAAATCCTAAACATGTTTCATTTAGGTCACCACCTAAAATTAACATGTAAGTCAAACTACTGAACAGTGAGAGACTTTCTATCCGAAATGCTGAGTCAGAGTGTACTGAAACATCTAAATGGTTTTGTAAGCATATCAACTGATGAATAACTGGGCACATTATAACTATCTTTATCGACATAAATATATTCAACTACAATATAGTATATAATATAACGAATTTTAATAAAGACCTCTATTCGGATGATTTGAATAAAAAAATTCTAGACGATGCTCCAAACTGTACTATTACAGACGAAATATTTTAAGGAATCCATATATATATATAAAGAGAGAGAGGGTTTGAGTTTTAATACTACCAACATTATGAACTGGTTTCGATCAGACTCTGATGGCATATGTTCATTCTTAGTGTATTGCCTTGATAGGGACCTTGGTAAAACGTTTTAGTAAAGTTCGGTTATGGCTAGTGATCGAATCTAAGACGTATGTTCCGTTCTGTTTGGGACTCATCAGCTAGATGCATTTGCATACCAGTGTTGGCGTCCACGATTGAGACTCGAGACCAGTACCTTTCGTTTCAAACTCCAACATATTATCCACTGAGCTACTGAATGAAGTAGATAACTTGTAGGCTTTTGAAGCGAACGGCAGAGAGTTCGAGTCTCTAAATAGAAATCAGCAAAGAAATACAATTAAATTCAAGTGACGAGTCCCAAATAGGACGAAAAAAGCGTTCTTGATTCCACTGCTAGCTACAATCTAGCTCTACTAAAAATGTGTTTGTCGAGTAGTTAGCTCTTACTTAGTGGACTATTTCAAAATATAAGTTTACTTAACGGATATTATAAACACTACACTAAGATAAGTAGTAACTATTACCAGTTTTATTTCAACTTATTAACAAATAATCTGAAGTTAATTCTCATTATATTAGCTAAAGAACTATCGAAAGCCAAGGTGAACAATACTCTTATCTAGTTTGATTTGGAACTTCTTTACGGTGCTAATTCAAAACATTAATAGGATTTAAACTTGAAGTTTCTGGTTCTCATAGTGCACACGTTATGAATGGAGTGAGGAGTCGTAATTTAATGATTCATATCACTGAATACAATTTATGAGTGTTAGTTATGCAACCGTTATTCAATGACATGGGTGATATATATCTAATGCTTAACATGTTTCAACTTCCCAAGTTCCAGCTTCCTAACAAGACTCCGAGGATCCATCTCAGAGATTTTTACTAGTCATCATATGATTATTATGGAGCTGAGCCTTTAATTTTAATGTTTTAGCAGAGGGATTTACTCGGTGATGCAAACTCCCTATCATAGTGATATATATAAGTGCTTGAAATATGAGTAAATTATTTCATTTTACAAGTATAAACAACTTACTCTCTCAACACATTTCACAAGTGGCACACGAACTGCTTGATTACCATCTAAACTAATAACACATGATGGTAGATTAGGATCACGATCAGCATCCATTAGGGCTAGGACAGCTTCAGCTCCCATACGACTGCCTAAAATACGATCAAAGGCTGATGGTGAACCACCACGTTGTACATGACCCAAAACAGTTATACGTGTATCAAGTTGAAGTTCTGATACTATTAAATTTTTCACCAGTTCACAAGTGATAGGGTTACATCCTCTATCGATAGCACCTTCAGCAACCATAATTATATTGACACGTTGTCCATGTTCACGATTCTGATAATAAAAAATAATGCATATGAAAATTATGTACAAAAGTGTAAATACAACGGTACCATTTACAAATACTGATCATTATGAATGAATTAGCAAATTATGACAGATCGAATAAGTGTTATGGATATCGTTGTCGTTACAATCAATCAATGGGAAACTCTCACTAAATTTATTTTGATAGTAATTATGATTATATATTTGTTTGTTGTCAAAATATTGTTTGTACAGGTTGTGCAGTAATTGAATATTTACAGTAATCAGTCATTGCAAAGTCAGTAGGTGATTTGTTTGGTTCATGTACACAATAGAATTCCGTTGATCAAGTTTGAATGTGGCTACTGAGTTGAGTTATTCCAAAAAATGGTATCTTTTGTTTGTTTTTCTTAAAACATTTGGCTGGTAGAAGCAATACAGAAGTTTCAAATCTAAATATAATTTCTATTTGACATTCATTAGGAAGATGAACAGTTTAAATTTGGATGGAACAAATGATTCCCGAAGAATTCGAACTTATAACACTAAATATCTGATACATAGATATTGTTATTGGAACACACTTATGTTGCAGCTAACTTCATAGAGTAATAAAATATATATAATAGTCTATCATTGAGCGGTAATTATTGTCAAGTTGTCTAGTCCTTCGGAGTGATCAAAGTCTATCGATTTTATCAAGTTATAATGATACAATGTGAAAATATTACAGTCGAATTTATGAACATATATTGTTTTTGTTACTGATGTTATATTGTACCAAAACAAAAGTATTTATTTAATGTATATGTATATAATCAACATATGTAACAAAGTACATACTTAGATTCACAACTCTTCCATGATACTATATTCATTAATAGGTTTTATAACAGTCGATAAAATCATCTGTTTTATGCTATTAAGTTTTATTTCAACATTGTTGTAACCTGAAAATTTAGTTACAATTTTATAAGTTAATGAAACAGCTTTGAGGTTTTCTTTTGAGTGTCCAATAATCTGACATCTGATGTGGAGTCATTTAGGCTGGCAGGGGAATTCGTAAGTTGATCGGTAGAATTCGATCATCATTAAAGAACTAGACAAATATTTTAGCCCTCCGGAAAATCATTCGTGACCTGAACAACTCAATGGTAGTTTCTCAGACTGAAAATATGACTTGTTAATGAGTGTCAACTAGGATAAAATCTACGTTTAGTATGTATTCAGCCAAGTACCTAAAACTTGATGGAACAATTTTTTTTAATATTTTACCGAATTGAGTGAACACTTGGACAAAATAATAGAAATAAAATAAAAAGCAAAAACAGACTACATTTTACTAATACCCCTAATGCTAATTAAGCTAAATAGAGTATCATTTTTAGTGAACGTCAACATAGTGACGGAGATATATCCAGCTTACGAGCCCCAAGTAGGGCGAAATACGTGTTCTGGATCTTACTAACAGCCATTACCTCACTTTATTAAAGGCTTGCGACAAAATGGAATCATCGAGTCGATTCTCTCAGAACATCTATATGCCAAAATAGACTGATCAATTACAAGGCAGAACACTTACAACAAGAAGATTCAAACTCTTAAAATTGAATTAAGCAGAGTATAATTTTATATCTGAGACTTTCTTACCATTACATTTACCGGTCTAATGTACTCGTCTCTCAATAAACAAACACCAAGTCTACAATAGATAAATAGTGGGAAACTTCGACTCAGAACTACGAAAACAATTCACTTAATATTTTCACCAGAATTTGTTATCGTGATTATATATTCAAACATGTGTAATTCGAGTGAAGTCGAAATCCTTTCAAAACATTTATGGACAAGTTCGGATATCATGAACGGAAACAATGCAAAGAATACTAGAGAATGTTTAAAATCTTAGCACACAAATCAATCTGCAATCAATAAACCTACTGAATCAGAATATAATTTCTTCAACGAAGGAATCTTTTTTAATGAGTTCATTTTCAACGATGCACAATCGTATGATAAATCACACGTCTGTGAATAATTATCTTACACATCTAATTTACAAATCAATTGAAAGGCAAGCCTATAAACTACAAGACCGTAAAGTGACCTTATTTAGATGACCACTGAAAGCCAAATAGCGCTAGACAGCCGTTTCGTCCTAGTATGCGGTGAGCATTCATGACCTCATCAGCACACGATCCCAATAATTTTAATGGATCTCCATAAAATCGTTTCATTCAATATAAATTTCGCTTAAGAAATACTTAAGCAAATCTACACAAGAGTGATTACTTACCATTCTAAGTTTATGACATAATTTCTCGCGCCAATCATCAGCTGGTGGCATTTCTGGTATAAATACCCAATCAGCTTCACATGCCATAGATGCGACAAGTGCTAGATAACCACAATGTCTACCCATCACCTCTAAAATGAAACATCTTTGATGTGAATGAGCTGTAGTAGAGATTGCATCAGTCGCTTCAATAATTCTATGCAATGCTGAGTCTGCACCAATTGTCATATCTGTACCACAAAAATCATTGTCAATACTACCGACTAAACCGACAATATTTAAGCGATGAAATTGTTTGGCATTTTCTGCACTAATTTTACCTGTAATAATAATAATAACATGTAAGACATAATGTTAATTAGCTACTGAAAAATACTAATGGAACGGTAATTTAATTATTGGAATATTTGAAGTTTACAACCGATTGTACGTTGAAGGTCTGAACCCTGAACCACTTACTTTGGCTTGAGGAATCGTATAGTGCTACTAGCTCTCACATAAACGAGGCACAAATCAGTACGTGATAAATAAATTACAGGAAATATTAACATAGGCATATTTAATAGTGTTGATCATGTTATATATTTATGTGGCCCATTTGTAAGTGTTTAAGTATTTACCAAGTATCTGCTTACACATGAAGTCGATGAAGTTCAGTAATGTGGGCTAAGAAACAGGTATCAGTGAATGAGAGTGAATTAAAATCACGAATCGATCGAAGTTGGAGAATGTGAATTGTTGCGTCCTGGCTCATTATTATAAATAGTAACATACTGATAATTCTGTAGGTACTGGTTTCGACTTATGAAGAGGTCTTGGGTATGTGCTGCTGTGGAGTCTTATACTACGACGAATCCTCTATTTAGTGGTTTGCTAGCTGTGATCAGTTAGCGATGTAAAACCACAAACTGAAAGTGCAGAGCCAGCCGAAAAACAACAACTACTTTAGGGATGTGTTTCATATTCAAAACTGTCCATCCTTTGTTCTTAATCAAAAAAATTACTTCATCAGTCAGATTAAAAATTATTACTAGGAAGGTAAACTTCATTTTAACATAAGCGAATTTCACATATATACATATATTAATAAAACTTAACTAATGTGACAAGTTCTTCCAATAGATTTGACCATTCAGCTCGAAATAGATTAGCACCAGTTAAAGAACCATCACCACCAATAACCACTAAATTGGTGATTTGATTTTTGACCAGATTTTCAGCAGCTTTTAAACGTCCACAACGTTCACGAAAATCCATACATCGAGCTGATCCAATCTTGGTACCTCCCTAAACATTATAATAATACACATAAATGAAATTATAATACCATATTTGATTCTTTCATCATTTTAAAAATATATTTCACAGTTTATTCCACTTAACATTGAATGGTGACTATGTATATTAACATCTATAAGTAAGGTAATACAGTTTGTAAGCAAATTCGCAAATTAATTTATAGTGTAAAGTATCGTCCTAATGTATGCTATAAATATCATGTAACGCAATTTATGGATTGCATCATAAATTGATTCGAGACTCTAAATAACAGATGGGGTTGTGTGATAATCCGGGGGTTAGAGAAGAACAGAAGGATGAACATAATTTACGGGGCAGAATTATGAAAGATAATTGTTTGTACATAAGGCAATTAGGTCAAGGAAGGATCAGAGGTTGGGTGTATCGTTTTCGCACGCAGAGTTCGGGCTTTAATTGACGGATTGCCAATCCTTTTTATCCTTTCAAAGAAATATATTTACCACGTAACTTTAAATACGAATGTACAGCTTAAGTAAATAGTTTCGTCCAAAAGAAAATTTTCGTCTCCGATTCTCTTCATTTTTATTCAATGTAACAATGGATTACTCTAGGTAATTTCACTGAATGATTTTCTTTCCTTTCACATGCTCACAACACCGTTGTGTTGTTTTTTGTGTAGTTCAGTTCTATCTCTTTTTAATATGTAATATGTTTTATGTTTAAATGAAAATAATACTCATATCAAGCTTAACTCAGAATTCAAATAAAAATAGTTCACACTTCTACAGTACTAATTCCCTCGTATATAGATTTTGATAAGATTCTAATAATGAAATTAACAAACTTTTTGTAATTATAGTTTCAAGATTTCTTTAGCAAAATTACACTGAACAATTCAGTTTGATCTTTCGAGTGAAAAGGTGAATCTGTGAAGCCAATTGGTGGTATGTAAAAATTATCTGAATTATGTTTATGAAGACTAGCGGAAGTTTTTTTTAAAATCTAGTTTAGAGTAAATAATTGTCAAATGCTATCTGGTTCTGAACAGTTGTACAGTTGCGATCATTCCGTCATAAAACTTTTCTCTGTAGTGATACTTCCCACATAAACTACACGATTAAACAATTATTGTGTGTTAGATAATGAATTAGTGTCAAAATATTAATTTCTGGACTTTTTGATGAGAAATGGCGTTTGACCAAGTTCAGAGATATCAGAAATGAAATTGATTTTAATGGTTTCATTGAAACAAGGCATATAACAGTGTAAACAAAAAAGAATCTCGACTAATCTTTCTAGCATTTTAGAAGTAGAGACTCCCAGTATACATGGGAACACTATGTTGAAAGTCAACATCTGTTCTCTAGTTTCACACTGAAAACCATTAAACTCAGGCAAATGTTGATTTAAAGTTATCGGATGCCAGTTAGATGAAATAAAAGGAGTATGATGTAATCACCCTCGTCTACGAAAACACGGGCGTCTACTTAAATGATTTTGCGTGATCAAGTAACATGTTAGGCAAGGTTTCGACATTTTAGTCTAGTCAATCCTACTTTATTCGTCCAGGCCGAACAATCACAAGATTATTTCATGGTTTTTATGAAATAAATAGTTTCATAATTTTCCAGACTGGATTACGGATATTGTGGGAAAATGTGGGATTTTACTGGACCATTCACAACATTATATGCATAAATATCCTACATTAGGCATTGACTCGGAGTATTTACTTTATTTTCAATGAGCTTTAACATCATACAGTTTTGGAAAAAATCATAAAAACATCCACATAACCACTTAGAACTTTTCAATACTTCTTAAAAGTTGTTTTTTCTTGAGACAAACATTAATTGCAGAGTTGAACCTAAGACGTTTCAGTTTAGTACAAATCTACTCAACATATTGTAGTATTGGATAGTTGAAAATAATCGGCAAAAACATGGCGGACCTTGATTTTCCGGCAATTGGCACCAGTCAGTAAGATGTATCTGTAATCTTCAGTGGACAGATGCTTCTAAGTGTATTTAAACCTGCGTCATTCAGCTTCATAGTCCGAGACCTTACCAATAATTCATGAACTTATTATGAGTTTGATTATTATTCATTAAGTGTTATCGTACTACGATTTTTACTGCTGTCTGAAGACGAGCACAATTACATTAGCGATTTATAATGAAATAAATTATTGTATACACTTACTAATTGGAGAATACCAGAAACATCTGCCCACGATGCTTCCTGAATGTTGTTACCACCATCCACAAGACCTTGATATCCTTCTCTGATGAAAAATACTCGGCATCCGCAGTATATTCCCATACGGACTACAGCTCGTACAGCTGCATTCATTCCTTGGGCATCTCCACCGCTTGTGAGAACAGCGATACATTCACCCGTAAATTGTCCTCGGGCAACATATTTACCTTCCATACCAGGTGTCCATTCCGTTGCTCGGCGCTCAAACCTTCAACGAAGTAACAAATATCACCCAAAATATTTAAAATTGACCTTACTGAATAAAGTAAAAAATTTAGTAATCTCAAAACTTTGGAAAACATCAGTAAGCTAAGAAGTGATAAATTATGTAAACAAACTCAAATACATACACATCGAATTCGAATACAGTGAAAGCTAACAATACTAAGCGTTAACCTAATCAACCTAACAGAGATATTTACGAATAATTGCCCATGATTTTTGCATGGATCAAGAGACTTAAATATGTTCATTTGAATACGTATACTTCTGAATAACTAACTAGGATAGAAAGCAATAATCGAACCAATACTATTGACAACCAAAGTATTTGAGCGATTGATATTGTGTTATTTGAAAAAATATTTCAAACATAACAAAACACGCTTCTATTCCTTATTTTTTGTACACGTTTTTCTTTATGGTTACTTTCTGTTTCAAAACAGTGTCATTCCATCTAACTTATCTGTCGAATTACAGAACTTGATGGATAGAATTACTTAAAACTTTGAACAAACATAATTTTAATTGCCAACACATGACTATTTGGCCAAGTTAGCCTGCTTCATCAAAAAACCGCTTGCGATCTGACGTACTAGTGAGATTTGTGATCTAATAACCAAATGACTAAAAATCAAATTCTAAACAGAGCATGGGTTTCCTAATGTTCTCATAAATATCTAATTAGTTGGTAAATGTAAATTACATCAAGAACTAAACGAACAAACACAAATCAAACATGCAGTAATAATCAAGATACAATAAAATTTTCAATAGATTTTACTTATTCTAAAAAAACTGATGAAGATTAAAGTCTACTAAAATGAAGATGAAATCTATTTACACACATAGAGTAGCTTTTAGAATTTTTAAAAAATGAATAACTCAAACGATTTCAAGTTGAAAATATAACAAAAGTGACAAATTTTATTTTAATCAATTAGCGTTATTTAAAAGCGTCCACAGTATTCACGGTTCAACTTTACAGCATCACACGTAATTCTTTACTTTTATTCTCATAGATTCCCAGTACAATTTTAAAATACTTTCTACTATAATAATATTTGAACGTTAGAATAGACAGATCACAAAAATAAATACAAACATAAATCATTTGGTTGTAATATAGTAGATCGACATTAACATGCCGATTCCAACAGCGAAATGTCCCGGACTTCATTTCAGAAATGATAGAAATTTTTTGCGTGGTTCTTAGGATGCAGGATCTCTTCCAAACTGTTTTATGTGAGCAGGTGGTATTTAAGAAGTGGCTAAGCTAACAACAAAAAGGCACTATTAAGCTCAATTCTTAAGGTTCTAACTAAAAACAAAGTTAATTTTAAGCCTTATAAACAAAAAGAAAATAGAAAATTATATAGCATTTGCTTAAAAATATATTCAGCATTCCAAAAAATCTAGATGCAGTGTTAGGAAACCAAATCTTTACAAACAAGAAAGAACCTGAGTATCGGATTTCAAAATGATATATTTTCCATGATTAAGTGGAATCTGTTTTAAGTCAATAATGCGGTTATATTGTGCAAGTGAGTTGTAAAGCCTTTAAATATGCTTGTTTGGATTCATGAATAGAACAAAACTTCTCGTCAAAATTACGTTAATGACGTTAGACATCAAAACAAAGTGAGCGTCACCTTAAGGCACCATCGAACTGAAAATATCCAATACTGATAAATTGAAATATTCCCCCTAAATTGTTAACTTCCATTTATCATGGATTATGCTACAAAAAACTTGCAAGTGAACAAAATGTCCAAAATATGGATGCACCAAAAAATTACAAAGAATACAAATAAGTATTATAGTAAACATTTCTTGACCTAAACAAAATACAGTGAGATTATTTGCAAGTTCTCTTTTAAACAAATAAGATTAACTCATATCACTAACAAAGGCCGGTTCAAATATCCAGATTTGCTCAAAGAGTGGCATGTACAAATATCCTTACTCAAAAGAATAACTAGAAAATCGGTGCAATAATTCATACATCTGTGAGCTTAAAACTACGTGTTTAGACAAATTATCCTTTGTTTTAAAATTTTAGTGAATAAATTAAAACAGATAACGTAGCCAATCCATGACCATATCAGTGGCACATATTTTTATAAGACTGTCTATTATTTTGAAAAATAATTCCATAAATCAGTCATACGTAGCCTATTCTTCGTTATCGTCGTAAAGTAAGCAATGTGTTTTCTTCAATAAAGTTGAAAGGTATAGACCTTCAGTTCCTCAATTGTTGATTTAGATCTCACTAAAATATTCAATGGAAAACAATACTAGGAGCTGAAGTGGAATAACTGTTTATGTAAATAAATCTAACTTTATTCTTCAGCAACATCAGCCATAAATTACAATGACTTGGCTGTTTTAGTGTGGTCTTATTGTTGTAAATACAGCAAGTGTATTAATTTCAATACCACTGAACTAGAAATGATATGTAATGTAGTTGCCTGAAAGTTGATAACTAAGGATCCCGAAAACAGTCAGCAAGACTTTTAGCTTCTAAAAAATACAGGACTTGAATAAGCATTAGTTTAGAAATAAATCGTTATCACCTTTTCTTACCCTCTGCTCAGAAATACAATAATCTAGGGGCCTTGTGCAGCTAAGATTTAAAAACCCCTGCTCACCGCTGTGTGATAGCAGCCAAGGTTTTAGAACCCACTTGGGTAGTAAGTAGAGCCGTTTAGCCTTGTCGATACCAAAAACATTCTTTGTATTCAGTTTTCGTTCGTTTGAAACTCAGGTATCTCATACAAGCAGCCACTACTTAACTAGAAAGGACAGTGTTGTTGGAAAAGATTCAAAGAACTGAAAATAAGTTGGTTGATGGAACCGCTAAGATCCTGTATGGAGAGAGACTAGCTAGACGTAGACTATTTCTCTCGTCATATAGAAGGACAAGAGGTGGCAATCTTTAAATTGCTTAATGGAAATTACTGATATGGAGTGCACTCACCTTTTGTTCTTCCAAAATAAAAAATTAACGAGGACACTATAAATGTACACATGTCCAGAAAAAATTACCTGTCAGTTGACTATCAACATTCCCTTTAAACTATCAGTGAACACAACTTGCTACCTGGACAAGTGAATGAATCTCCATCTGTCAATGCATTCAAAAGAAAGTTGGATCACAGAGGTTTTCCAAATGAATCACAAAGACATTACAACGAGAGAAATGGATAAAAACTAAATACCTGAAAGGTGCTTAGAAAGACCCACAGACGTAGATTTGAGGACGTACTTTGTAGCGAAAAAAAGAGAGAATCCAAATTAAGTAATTATTCGTGTTGTGCAAAATAATGAAGATAACATTTCATCGGATATATTCATTTGCATTTCCAAAAGCCCAAGTATTGTCAGTCGGATGAAAGTTGGGGAGTTTAAAAAAACGCAGGAGTATATGTTGCCGTCTTATTTCATTTAATTACAGCTAACAAGCAGATATCACATATACGCAAAAAAACTGGTAAAACAAATGAACGAAAGCCAACGTTAGCACAACTATATCTACTTTCACATACATTTTCCGTATTGAGAAATGAGATTTGTAAATTTAAGTGCACACACAAAAAAGAGCACCCAAGAGTGTAACAAAGACAATATAAGGTCCAAAAATCATTCAGTTTAGTTAAATAATATGTGAGAGAGTACTAGTTTGAGTTTTAAAACAAAACTAGCTAACAGGGATCTAAATAGCTTATTAACAGACCATTCACCTAACAATTCAGATTTTCACATTATAAGCTTACCAGCATGATCTCCTATAGTTTAAAGTATGGAAATGTTAATTAGATTAGTTGAAAATGGTTGAACGTAACAATAGCGAACAATTCTTCAAAACTTACCTTCTACCTTCCATTTTATGTTTAAATGTTTATAAGATAGCAAACGTGGAATTTTTGTTTCTGAAAATCAAAACGGTGATTTGAAGCCTTTAGTTGTGTTAATCTGCAGATATCATAAACAGCAGTCACGTACACCAAATAAATAATGGTATAAAGAGACGCTCACAATAAGTGGCTTTAAATTATGCATTATAACAAAATAATTTTTGTCGAAGGAATCTTGATGAGATTTCCAGTCACACTGATGTATATACATTATCTGATGAAAAACACTAGACAGTACAACGGCATTATCATGAATTAGCTTTCTAGTTTGAAAGAAAAGTAGTGTTAATATCAACATTTCGAAGTTCGATATATTTGTATAGCCCACAAATTAAACTATTACTAACCATTTATTGACAGGTATTTTAGTGTGACTTGACAAAATTTCTGTTTACCTAATCATTTCTCCTCACCATAGTCCCACTTTGTTTAACTCTTAGATAATCTACAAGTGCATTTTGATTTCGAATGTGTTAGGGATTAACCAAATATTTTGAAATTATTGCATGTATTTTCCACTCACTTGATGTCGTTCTTTTACTTTGCCTTTCAGGCTGTCCATTCTCTAGGAAATGTTATCAACCCCTTGATAACATTTGATGCTCAACAATCTCATCGGGATTCGTATCACATCGACGTGGCGTTCCTTTTAATGGGTGGGTGATATAGTAATATTGGTTCCTAACTACACGTTCTTTGAGACTTAAAGACAATAACTGAGAAGATATATATTCAGTATGCAACATCTAGAGAGGTCCAGAGGTGGTGAACGCGGAAGACCCAATGGATATGGCACGGCTAAGTCATGCAAAAGAAGATTACAGAGTTTGAAGCGTAGGTTGTTGAAGGATGACAGTCTGCACATCAGGTATACCAAAAGTATTGAAAGTAATTTTCCAAGGGCTATATGGAGAAGGTCTCTGAAATACAGTCGTAGCCTAATTGTCTCTCCCGATGGTATTTACCTTATCATGGAGTGTTAAAGCCGAAAAAGTCAGAAAAACTGAGAGTGGTCCTTGATTGTGCCGCTAAGTTTGCAGGGGTTTCCCTAAATGATATGAATTATCAAGAACCCGACACCACTGCTGGGCTAGTGTGTATACTATTGAGTTTTCGCAGAGAGGCAGTTGCATCCTCTGCAGATGTTGAGGAAATGTTCATACAAGTGAAGGTCCCTGAGTCTGATCGAGGAGCTTTAGGATTTCTGCGGTGGCAGGAGGGAGACATATCGAGGGAACCATTCGAGTTTGAAATGATCTCTCATCCTTCCGGTGTCACGTTATCGCCATTTTGTGCGAACGCTGCAACGAATAAGACAGCCCAAAACATTCTATGATGGTTAGCATGGTTATGTGGTAGGTGCTGTCAAGAATAATTTATATGTTGATGATTGCTTTACATCCTTTTCCACTTGTGATCAAGCAAAGAAATTTATTAAGCAGATAAGTGAATTATTATATAGAGGAGGTTTTAAACTAAAGAAGTGGATTACCAACTCAGAAGAAATAAGAACCATCTTGTCTGATGTATGTAAAGAAGAGTCTTTGATGGAAATATCAACGAGTTATGATACCACCCATCGAACTCTAGGTGTGGAATGGGATTTCAAACAAGACGCATTTAAGTTTTACTTCGATGCACCAGAAAAGCCTTTGACTAGGAGAGGGATTCAATCTGTAGTTTCTTCTCTGTTCAGTCCTTTGTGTTTAATTGCTTCAGTCTGCCATACTGCCAAATTCCTCTTGCAAAAATTATGTAAATCTCAAATAGGCTGGGATCAGTCTCTCAACGAGTCATACATGTCCACGTGGCTAAAGTGGGTGAATTTTATGCGCCAGATAGATCATTTAACGGTAGCTCGGGGGATCAAGAATGGAATCGACGAACCTGACGCGAAAGTAGAATTACATTTGTTCAGTGATGCTTCAGAGATCGGTTATTGAGCCGTTAGGTACACACGAGTTAGTTATTTGAAGAAACCACCATACTGTATCTTGTTCTACAGCAAGTCTAGAGTAGCACTTATCAAATAAGTTACTATACCGAGGCTTGAGATGGCAGCAGAGGTGTTAAGTTAAAGGCCGAGTGAAGCCTTACAAAGGGATCTGCCCAAATTTTTCTGCGATGTGAACTTCCATACAGATTTCATGATAGTGTTATACAGCATTAAGAATATCGCGAACCGATATAGCACCTATAAAGCCGACCGCCTCGCTGTTGTGCACCAGTATACGAAGGTTGAACAATGGAGTTATGTAAAGTCGTCACAGAATCCAGTTGATTGGACCTCCAGAGGTATACAAAAAATGACTGATCTTGAATCTTGGTTCAAATGTCCTACTTTACTGCATGGCGAATTTTGTATAACAATCATTGACCGTCCGGAACCTACTCCTGACAATATTGAGTTTAGAAAAACTGCTGTGGTTAACTTGAGTAGTATGAAGTACAACATGTCACCTATTCTCTTTTATTATTCCGAGTGGTTGAAACTGGTCAGAGCCGTAGCCTGGCTTAGCAGGTTCATAGAATTCCTCGTGGTACTTCGTTCACCGACTCGGGAAGGATTCGTTAATCTAGGATGTTTAAAGGTCAAAGAGCTTGACGTCGCCAAGCGTAAAATTTAAATGACTGTTCAGAAAGAAGTGTATGGAGAATTACTTAGTGGATTTGAAAACAACAGTAAAGTAGTTAGTCACAATAAGCTGAAGGGTTTATCACTGACAATGCTTGATGGGTTACTCTGTGTTGGAGGTCGACTAAGCTACTCAGATTTCACAAATGCTTTTAAACATCCAATAATTTTACCTACTCGACACTTAGTGACGCAAATGATAATTAGACATTATCATGAAGGACAATGGCACACAGTACCGTCTCAAGTACTGGTCACAATTCAAAAAAGCTATTGGATAGTAAAAGGAACCAGAACGGTTGGGAGAGTGATTGGAAAGTGTGTGACATGCCGGCGGTTTACGATGAATCCAGGACAACAAATGATGGCGCCGCCTCCTGCTTGTAGTGTTCAACAAGGCTGGCACAACTTCTCAGCGGTAGTAGACTAATTTGGACCCATTTTAGTCAAAAGAGGAAGATCACTAGAAAAAGGATATGAATGTGTATTTACTTGCTTGCAAAGCTGAGCAGTACATATTGAAATGACATATAGTTTGAATACTGATTCATTTATAATGGCCTTATTTCGTTTTATTAGAAAACGAGGGAAACCTGCAGAAATTTACAGTGACAATTGGTCAAACTTCGTGGGTGCGGTCTCTGAACTAAGGAGATTTGTGCGCCAGTTGAATCAGCAGAAGAAAACTAAGGAACTATTAGCTAGGCGGATTCAGTGGCATTTTAACCCGCCCTCATCCAGCCACAGAGGTGGAGTCTGGGAATGGATGATCAGGCATATACGTCGACTGACATTGTTGGTCACCAGAGTACAGAATTTAACTGATCAGGCAAAGTATGTCTCCTTCAAGGGTCGAATTAGTTCTTGATTATTATCAATGTGGGTAGGTCGAGTAGGCGTACTGTTATAAGTCCTGCTCGTTCCTCTAGTGTAGAATATGTAATAGAATGAACCATGACCATAGGCGTCAAGGTGGCTTGTGTTGTATGGAGGGATTTTGCGGGCCGATGTAAGATCAATTTTTAATGTCTTGTAGCGTGGTGCCGAGTCCATATTGACTATAAACACCACTACAAAGGAAAGTGTGCCAGGATATCCACAAAATCCCTAGGAAGCCAAATATCTTACTTACTTACTTACTTACGCCTGTTACTTCTCGTGAAGGAGCATAGGCCGCTCACCAGCATTCTCCATCCAACCCTGTCCTAGGCAATCCTTTCTAGCTGCGTCCAGTTGTAATTCATCGTTTTCATATCTGCTTCTATTATCCGACGCAATGTGTTCTTTGGGGACGCTAACCCCATGCCCAACCCTCCTACTTTATCCGGGCTTGGGACCAGCAGTAACCCTATAAGAGCTACAGGCGGAAGGCATTTAATGGACAAAGTCGAGACATATTTGCTGTTGATCTCGTGATATCGAAAGAATACCGAGATCGCGCCAGGGTACAAGCTTGGTTACTGGGCGTAACCGGATTCGCGCGAGGTCACAATCGGAGGAAGTATGATGCATGCTTTTAGCACAGTTAAACAAAGAGCACATCAAAACAGTCACTGGTACAATTGGTTACAATAATGATTGTGTTCATGAAAACAATCGTGTTCTCGTGATAAAAGTGAGTCACTAAAGTCTTGTGTGTGAAAAGCCCTCCATGTGTACACTCGCAATTTGTCTTTTTTGATTCTATTTAAGTTGTTAATATTTGTATTTTATTATAGTTTTTATTTTTTTTACGCCTTCATTGAGTTTCCGTGTTTCTTCTTGAACTGCATTTATGTTGTTTTACTTGCTACTTAGTCTTGGCGGCAGCCATATTGGCTTGTCCCGCCTTTTGCTTGTGTTGCTTGTATTGACTGGAATTGTACATTTTTGATTGTGAATTGGAGCACTCTTCCAGAATTGGAAACACTCTGTGTTATAAAGCAACCAAATATTATCTTTTCAACGAATCTGTGCGCCGTCTATCCAGACAGGATAAAACAATATTTATTTGTTGTAATTGGTAGATTTCTCTCATCTTTTATCAACTTCCTTATTTATTGAAATTTAGATTCCATTACTTGAATAATTATTGGTTGGATAGCCAGTTGGTCATATTTGTTTAGGTATACGACTATCTACTGTCCTTAAATTTCTTCTCACCCAAACAGCTTGGTTTCAGGAAGGGTTACTCTTGTATAACCAACCTGCTGACTGCGGTGGACAGATGGACAAGCATCCTCGATCGCAAGGGAAACTTTGATATCATATACCTTGATTTATCAAAAGCTTTTGATAAAGTTAACCACTTGTGTCTTATCAATAAGCTCAAACGACTAGGTATCAAACCACCTCTAATCGATTGGCTTACTTCATACCTAGAAAATCGACACTTCAAGGTTAGGGTTAATTTCACTTTATCTCAGGCTATGGAATGTCCTAGTGGGGCCCCCCAAGGCTCAGTACTAGGCCTCTT